ATATATATATATATATATATATATATATATATATATATATATATATATATATATATATATATATAATCCACACCGCTCCTTTGCTGACAAAACAAAACAAAAGCACGGATAATAATAGAAAAATAATAATCTCCTCAACTTTATTTGTATTATTTGTAGAGTGCTTTAAAACAGCTGACAGCTGAAAAAAAAGTGCTGAACAAGTCCTAGGAATAAGAAAAACACAGTAAAGGAATAAAATAGACCATGAAACTGTAAGATAAGGCAAAACTAAAAATGTGTTTAAGCTAAATAAACAAGGTCACAACAACTAAGTCCTGCCAGTCTTAAAAGCCAGTAAATAAAATTTAAAGTTTTTATAATATATGAGAAATCATCACCTCTGTTCTTTCTCAAAAAACTGCAAAACTTGAAAAGTTTTTTTTTTTCTTTTTCCCTAGCTAGCTAAATTATTCTTAAAAGTATTTAGGAAAAGTATTTATTAAAAGTATTTAGGAAGGGTATTTTGGATAGAATTATTTTAAAAGCAGAATATTATGATATATTGTTGCATGTAGGAAAAATTATTGTTTTAGTTTTAATGATATAATTCATGTTTTACAGTTTGTTTTCTTACTTTACTTATTTTTTTTCTTTTTTGTTGCTTTTTTTTTCATCATGGCTTAGAAATATTTAGAGATGGGTGAAGTTTCACTTTTTAATCAAGTAAAAAGTCTCAAGACAAAAAAAAAAAGACTTTGTAAAACCACTACTAAAGTACTGAGTAATTGCTGTTTCATAACATTTGATTTATAGTTTAAAACGATTTAATCAGTCAGTTATAAGAATATTCAGGTATTTTAAAGTGTATAATAACATTTAAAAGCTACAAATAACATGATTAAAATAAATTCAATCGGCAAAGACAGTTTTGTGAATCAAACATTTCAGCATGAACTATAAAATGGGTCATTACTGTACTGCATGTAATGCATATATGTCAGAAAAAGGATTAAGAATTTCCAATGACAATATTTACTGTTTACTCTATTTTCACCCGATCCCCAAATAGCTCAAGTTACTCCTGATGGGTAGAGTGACCTGAAATTTTACTCAAGTAAAGAGTAATGATATCCTCCCACGAACATTAATTTAGTAAATGTAATATAGACATCAAAGTACAGAAACAGATGGTTTTTCCAAAAAG